TAGACAGGCAGGTCAGCTCTCAGGCTCATCAATGATTGCTCCTACTTCAAATAGGTGTATGGGGGAGGGGTCTCCATCTCTCCTACCTGTCTTTATTTTGTTTCCCTTTCATTTGTTGTCCAGAAGCATTTCAGTCAGCCCTTATTTACTCTTCAAGGAGAATTGCTCTGTCTGTAGGTATAGATACGATATCTTTATGGAAGAGGTAAGTTAAGGGTCTTCCTATGGCACCATCTTGGACAGAAGCCCTGAAAATTCTAGATAAGAGAAATGTTTGAAGCAGTGATAAATGCAAGGTGAGAATACAGGGACCATTTCATTGAAAAATAGACTTTATGCAGGTATAGAAATTATAATTGAGGGCCTTTAATAATGGTATAAGAAGCTCAAAGTCCATATTTTTGGGAATGGTTACTATTAATGTTATATTTTAAATACATAAATCATAATATCTAATTTGCATTTTAAAATATTATTTGGAAAGCACAAATGAGAGAGGAGTAATTCTGCATGCAGGAAAATCAATCAGGAGACTATTGCAATAGTCAAGGTAGCTGGTAATAGAAACCTGACTTAAGTGAATACAGTGAAAAGGAAACACAGGAGCCCTGGCCAGTTTGGCTCAGCGGTTAGAGCGTCCGCCTGCGGTCCGGAGAGACCCGGGTTCGGTTTCCGCTAAGGGCACGTACCTCGGTTGCAGTTTATCCCCAGCCCTGGTTGGTCGTGTGGGTGGCAGCCACTCGATGTGTCCCTTTCACATCGATGTTTCCCTCTCTCTCTCTTCCTCTCTCTCCCTCCCACTCTGTCTGTACAAAAAATAGAAAAAATGTCCTCGGGTGAGGATTAAAAAAAAAAAAAAAGGAAACATAGGAGACAAATGGAAAATATATGGTGAGTAGAGTTGTTAGGAATTGAAAGATGAGTGGGTGTCTGGGGAAGAGTTTTAGGCTGGGTAGTAGGAAGTACGATGATGTAATATAGAGATTGAGAACACAGACTTGGAAATTAGGAAGGGGAAATGAGTGTTCAAGGAGCTGGGTAGAGATGTCCACAGAAGGTTGACATACACTTATTATCACAATGGAGTCAATCACACACTGTATAAGAGCTCAAGACCTAGAGCCATGAAGACCTGGGCCCAAATGTGGCTACTTAGAGCCTTGTAACATGAAGTAAGTTATTTAACTTTACTAAACCTCCATTTAAACTTGCAAAGTTATACGTATTAGTTATATCTACAAAGTTTTTGTAAAAATTAATGAAATAATACAGATATTTGTATAATTTTATTAGTGTATAAAGAATTCTCACCTGGCCAGTGTGGCTCAGTGGTTGAGTGTTGACCCATGCACCAAGAATCACATGCCCAGGTTGTGGGCCCAATCTCCAGTGGGGGGGCATGCAGGAGGTGGCCAATAGATATTCTCTCTGATTGATGTTTCTCTCTCTCTCTCCCTTCCTCCCTCTCTAAAATCAATAAAGAAAAAGAAAAAGAATTCTCAAAAATGATGACTAAATTTACTATTAGGACAGAATTTAGGGGTGAAAAAACAGTTTTGGGAATTAACTGTAGAGATGTGCTAAATTCAGTCCATAGAGTATCACCCATTGTTGTGGAAGGGAAGATATAGGAAGAAAAGAGAAAGAATAGGTCTAGCCCTTAGTATACATATATTTAGAATACAAACAGAGCACCCTGGCCAGTTTTCTCAGTGGTTAGAGCATCAGCCCGTGGACCAATGAGTCGTGGGTTCAATTCTGATCAAAGGCACATACCTCCGTTGCAGTTTGTCCAGCAGCACTGGTCGGGTCGTGCGGTAGGCCACCAGTCGATGTGTCTTTCTCATGTCAAAGTTTCTCTCTCCCCCTTCCTCTCTCTCTTTCCCTCCCACTCTATATGAAGATAAATGAAAAAATATTCTCAGGTGAGGATTAAAAAAAAAAAAAAAGATTACAAACAGAACAAGGGGAACCCAAAACTGGAACAAGAAAGTATAGCCAAGAAAACCGGGGTCTAATCTTTACATGAAAATAAAATGCAGAACCAGAGGAATTATATATGACATATAATCTAAGGACTAAAAGTCTTAATTCTAGAGCTTTATGAAATCCTTTTGATTTATCTGAGATTTGTCCTACTCAATTTCCCTGTTTCTCTTGAAGAACATAGAGCTACAGTGTAGTAGACACTGCTTTATACAATTGTTCACCAAGAAAGTACATAAGAATTATCTGATTACTAGCTGATTATTATGTGATAACACTGAAAAAAAAAATTGCAAACAGAAAGTGCTGCAGGGTGGAAGTAATAATTACGACAAAGCAAGGCTCCATCTGATTTAAAAACCAGTGGGACATCTGCTTGGCTGCTACCATAATTGGCTGCTGGCCTGTTGTTTTGTTTTGCTGGAGAAGGACTTTATGTTCTGTGGATATTATTTGCTCTTAGTCCAGGGGGACCCAAGTTTCCATTAGATTACAACTCTATATACATAGCTATATTTGTGCAAGACTCTTGCACAATTTCTCTAGGTCACTTTAAATTTTGTTCTTTTAGTACTGAACTCACTCAGTGTCCTGTGGTCTTTTCTCTATGAGAAATGACTGTCTCGTTGGGCTTCCAGTCCCTAAGGTATCACTTGGTTCGTTAGGACTCTCCCTGCCATAGCCTTGTAAAAATGTCCTGATAACCCAAATGAAAAAGGTATATTGGTGTTGCCATAGAACTGTTGACTCATGTTTACACTGTACTCGATTTTATGCATTCACTTAATTTTATTCAAGAAATGTTGTTTCATCATCAGCTATATGCCAATCAGTTAGCTAGATACCTTTCCATATGTTATCTGAGGAATAAATGTTCATGTTAGGGTATAGAATGATTTCTAGAACAGCTTCAGTTTAAAAACTACTTCAATTATTCTTCTTTGCCTTCCCTCATGTACTCCCCCACCACCTGAATGTGTTGCTATTACCTTCTAGTTCTTAAATCCACGTTGTTGTTTTCCCACATCCGTTTTAGACCAAGCTACAATTAAAGTCAGTAATAGTTGCCTTTTTAATTTCTCCACATCCATGCTTACCTCTCTTCGATACATTAGTCATGCTGCTGTCAGAAAATCTGCTTTTTCTTTCTTTCTTTTTTTTTTTTATCCTCACCCGAGGACATTTTTCCATTTTTTGTTCAGGTAGAGTGGGAGGGAGAGAGAGGAACACAGAGAGAGAGAAACATCGATGTGAAAGGAACACATCAAGTGGCCGCCACCCGCACAACCCAACCAGGGCCGGGGACAAACTGCAACCGAGATACGTGCCCTTAGCGGGAACCGAACCCGGGTCTCTCAGGACCGCAGGCCGACGCTCTAACCGCTGAGCCAAACCGGCCAGGGCTCTGCTTTTTCAATGTAATTCAGATCTAGCCATGTATCTCTCTTGATTAAAATTCTTCAGTGTCTTCCTAGATAAATCTCTACAAATCCCTATGCCATCTGGCTTTTCCCTAACATTCTTAATCATCTCATATTACCCTGCCCTCTGTCACCCAGTCACGTTGGTCTTCTGTCCCTGCTTTCACTTACTTGAGTCTACTATGCTCCTTCCTGTCGATGGCAGGCTCCTTACAGTTGCTGATCTCTTACCTTTGAATGCTTTCCTAATTCTTTGCCATTTAATACCTACTGATTTTTTTAGATATTTATATGTGTATATAATATATATATAGATGTGTGTGTGTGTGTGTGTGTATATATATTTATCACTTGTATGTATATATATATATACATACAAGTGATAAGTAAATAGCCAATGTGAGTGTTACCAAGTATCTTATTGCTTAGTGAAGAAAGATGGGTATTATTGAAGGAATCACAATGTATTATAATAAACTGAGATAAACTGGGATACATTGTAAAGGAATGATACACTGTGATAAGGTAAGTTGAGAGGTAAGAGAGGTTTTCCTAATATATAGGCTTCTCTATACATATATACACTCATATACATATGTAAACAAATGCATACTCACACAGACACACACATACATATATTATATATATATACATATATTTTTTTTTCATATTAGGAAAACTTCTCTGACTATTCAGCTTAGTTTATCACAATGACACGTTGTTTCATTGTTCTTCCCAGTTTATAATAATACATCATAATTTGATGACCAATTCAGTCTCTCTTTACCAAACAAAAAGATACTTGAGAGAATAATCTTTGTCTCTTCATTTAGATTTTTTCCCAAAGGAGTAGTAGCACAATGCCAAACACACAAATAGAATCTCAATATATCTTGCTGTTGAATTAATAAAATAATAAATGAGTAAATGATTGCCCATCCACTTTAAAAGGAAAGGATGTTGCTTTGGGGTTATAATATTTTATGCAGATCCTTGATAAGGCTCTTACAGCTAATGAAGATACAATGAAGGAAGTAAACAATAAGGATATAAAATTTAGCAATACCTTTAGACTTCAGAGACTTAAGAGCACTACTCTATTAGAGTATTTGTGTGTGTGTGTGTGTGTGTGTGTGTGTGGTGTGGCCATAGCGGGAACCAAACCCGGGACTCTCTGGTCCGCAGGCCGACGCTCAACCACTGAGCCAAACTGGCCAGGGCTCTACTATATTATTTTCAATAGTAAATATTTCCATCAATCCTCATTACTTTTGAATAGCAAACATATAGCCATCACTCTCACCTAAAGTCAGTTTTGAGATTGACAATAAAAGCTTTATCTTAAGCTGGTGTTTAGAATAAAGACATTTCATTCATGTACAGATTTGAATAAAGCATGTTAAGCAGAGAAGATAAACTTTAAGTTTTTGTCACAGCAATCAAGCAGGAAAATGCTTCTTATAAAGAAGGTTTTATGTGAAATTATTTATTCCATGCTAACATGGTACCATAAACAGACACACAAATAGAAAACCTTGGTAAGCAGGGTGTGCTAACAAATCAGTTATAAACTAGCACCAAAATGTCTTTCAGATCCTGAATATCTCCTTTGTGCAAACTGATAATAATCCAAGGGCGTTTTCCAAATGTGTTTTTCCTAAAAACAAGTTATCAGGTTAATGCTTTTAAATTCTTATTGTTTTAAACAGGGGTTTATGCCAAATTTTTCCAATAAGGCCACAGACTATTTCTTCCCTTGTTATGTTATGTTGCAGAGCCAGGGATTCAAGGACAATTTACTGTTAATTCTTACACATTGGGCAAGAATATAAAATAAAGAATAACTTTTGGTTTAAAATCTGAATGTCTCTAAAGGGAATTTTATTAAAAGCATCATATTATTAAAAGTCCTAAACACACTTATTGAGACATACTTAAGGATGAAGTCCAGGCTGTTAATATTTGATGAAGTACACAAAGTGATGCTAGCTGAATGGAGAAGAAGGCTACTGGAGAGAGGGACAGCACTCAAAGCATCAGAGAAACAGGATTTCGGGAGGGGTTAGGAAGGAGAGAAAATATGAGTACTATTGCCACTGTATCAATGATGCTTCACATATGTACAGGTAAATGGAATTGCTTGTTCTGAGAAAACATTTTCACACAGAGGTAGGAAATTCCACAATAATATCTTGAGAGAAACATTCCATTAACACCTGGCAAAGCTGCAATTAACAGCAGGATTGTTGGTTCAACTTGAAAGTTACATGTGTAAAGGCACAGCCAATGGACGCAGACAGTAGTTTGGGGAAAGCAGGAGAGGGGATGGGGAGGAGGAAGTCAATGGAAGGAAAAAGGGGGGACATCTATAATACTTTAAGTAACAAAAAAATAATAAAGTTATGTCACTCATTGTACAACAACAACAACAAAACAGACATGATTTTGATTTTGTCTAGTTCAAAACATTAGGGTCATAAATACTTGAAAGGCCACCAGTTTTTTTGGAGGGGAAGTCCTGGGCTAATTTGACATTCTCTGATGAAATGTTTAATTTTGAAGTTCAATTCAGAATAAAATTTATGATTATTCTCTGGATGAAGAAGGTTAGGGTCTTGTCCTAGTTATTTATCCTAGAGCAACAGTCTTTTTTTTTTATTTTTTAGAGCAATCCATCACTATTCTTCCCTTTCCCTCACCTCCTACATGTCATAAGTTGATGCCCAGCAGGGAGTGAATAATTGAACAATAATGAATATATAATTCATGGAAATGAAATTTAGGACATTCTATTCTTATTTTATAGGACATAATCCATATTTGAAGATGATGGTGCTTACAATGTTGGAGACATGCTATGATATTTATTGTGAGTCACAGAAAATATGTGTGATCCCACGTTCACTGAATTTTTAGTTTGTCTTCTCACTTTTTTTTTTTTCTTTTTTGTGGTATGTGCTCCTAGTAGAAACTGAACCCAGGACTCTCTGGTCCGCAGGCTGATGCTCAACTGCTGAACCAAACTGGCCAGGGTGTCTTCTTACTTCTTTGATAAGACTTTTTGTTTAACAGGTTTCTAGTTCAAGTAATAGAAAAACTTTTACACACACAAACAACCCTTTTTTCCATAATGAAAAGGGTTCCATTCTAAGATGATTGAGAATGTGGACCTCCTTCTCTTGTAAAGATCTCCCTGATATTGACCACCAGCTCTTACCTGCTAACTCCTTGCCACATGGATATTTCTCACCTGTGTCCCTTATTCAGCCTCTGACTTCCCAACATGGTGTTGGGGCTGATAGGTGGCCCTCAGAACTAGCTCTCGAGGCTCTGGTAAGTGAAACTCTACTTGTAGAAACTGACAAGGACAAACTGAAAAATGTGAAGGCCACACATGAGGAATACCCTGGCTAGAGTTGTACTTATAAATCTATCTTTCCCTTGTTTTGGGGACATAATCCTTCTGGGGATTGCCTGGTGTCCTAGCAATACAAACCATTCCTATGCCTCCTTAAATTTTTTTTTTTTTGATTAAAGAAGTCTTGAAATTACTCATAGGATGGCTAATCTGATACAGGTAAAGCATTTTAAATCTGTCACTATATTGCAAGATGTGAAATAAACATGATTTTAGTAAAAACTACTCTCATATGAACCACTTATTGGCCATTGTCCATGATTCAATTTTCAATATTTAACCTTTCGGTTTCGGTTTTACGTTCTCAAAATGGGGCCTAAAAATATTAACTTGATTTGAAAGAATATTTTGGAATTAGGAAAAGAGAATGGCATTATATGATATCTTCCCAGCAAAGTTCCAGCACTTAATACATGGGACCTATTATTAAAATATGAAAATAATAATTTTGGTAATTTGCAAAAAATGTCATTCTCTTTTCTGAAATGGTATGTACTACTGATTACATATCAATTTTATTTAGAAAATAGTAACTGCAAAATTGATCGTTCTGTAAAAGATAAAATTAACTTAATGCTATTCTGTAAAATATAATATTAACTGAAACTGTTGAACGCCTCAAAATCTCAGGGCAGTGGTATGACTTTTCTAGTCCCTATCTTCAGTTTATTTTAATATGGAATTTGAGATTTTTAATAAATGAATCTCAGAGAGTGATTTATTGTTATAAATCTTGCCATTATATTTTCAGAGTAATAACTTTAATCACAGGATCTGCTCAGCCTGAGGTTTAGAGCCTCAGTTGTATGTTTACCAATAGTATGAAGCAAAATTCAATCTAAATCAACTACAATATAACACTATATCGAAGGATTAACTTAAATAAAAGCACCTGACAATGCATAACACTTTCTACCACATTAATTGAGGCAAACAAAAAAGGACCATTACTTCTGAAACTAGATAGGAGAAAAAATACTAGAAAGTTTACCAAAAGATATTCACATTTCAAGGACTCACCTACAAGTTACTTAAAAAAGTCTGTTACATAAATAATACTTACTATTCACTACTATCTTTCTTTTATACCTAATCAAAAAAAGAAAATTTGAAACTGTCTCAACACTGTCACAACTATTGGTAATCAAGAAGAGAAGCAAATTGGTTATTAATGATTGATTATTTGAATTACCATGTTTCATAAGCACAGCAGCTATCTGTTAAGGAGCACAACAAGTTTTAACAGGAAAAGGATTAAGGGTTTTATTTTTCTCAGCTGAGACACAAATGAGTGAGATTTATCAAGTTGACTTTAATTTCATCCAGCTCAGGTGTCAGGAATCTATATTTATCGTGTGTTAGGCATGTGTCCGAAGTACTAGAAGTTTCAGGATGTCAGTCGCTTTCAGATGTCAGAATAACCTTAAAGACAGATGAACGGTCAGGACCCCATGCCTCATTTCTGAATTCTCAGCTCCTGTGCTGTAAAAATCATGTGTTTATTTTCTGCGTCTCCTCCTACAACAGTCTCTCTGAAGCCACTCTTAAAACCCTGCATCTGGGCAAGCAAGATCCTCTAGAAACTGGTGAGCAAAATTATTTTGTTTAGGGATGTGGCTATAAGTAATTAATGGATATTATCTAGTAAATAATAATAATCATTATTTTTAACTCTTTGAAAAGGTAAATTATCTCTAGTGTAATAATTGTCTTTTAAAAGATTTAGAAATTGCCCTGGCCGGTTTGGCTCAGCGGTTAGAGCGTTGGCCTGCGGTCCTGAGAGACCCGGGTTCAGTTCCCGCTAAGGGCGAGTACCTCAGTTGCAGTTTGTACCCGGCCCTGGTCGGTTGTGTGGGTGGCAGCCACTCGATGTGCCCCTTTCACATCGATGTTTCTCTCTCTCTCTCTGTTCCTCTTTCTCCCTCCCACTCTACCTGAACAAAAAATGGAAAAATGTCCTCGGGTGAGGAAAAAAAAAAAAAAGATTTAGAAATTTTTGACTATATGGATGAATAAATGCACATTTAACACATTTCACATTTCCACTAGTTTCTAAATTCATCCTATGAAATTTCCATTTACACATTTTCATGCCTTTTGTTTAGAAGCTTCACAAAACTGAAATTTCTAATTATTTTTAAAAGTATAATTTTATTGGAAATTTTTATTCCTTCATGTTCTCTAAGTTTGTTTGGCATGAATGAAGTAATCTAGACTGATTTCATTTTTTAAAAAAATCTGTTTACCTTCTTATAGGCTTTTAAAAACGTTACTCTTTTAAAAAAATAATAATACCCTAAAAATCTGACCAATTCAATTTTTCTCTTCCAAATTGGAAAAATACCATTTTAGTGAGACTAGAAGTGGAATGACCTTTGCTCATAAGACTATGATAATGTTTTTTTGCAGTGTTGTCAAGACTGACAAGTATATTTAAGAAATAATTTAAAAGTCCCAATCCTCTTAACAAATTGACTCCCAGAAGAAAAGAAAATAATCTTTTCATACATAAATGTATTGCTCATTAGTGATCATAGAAGTTGTATTAATTGTGGGTACCAGATATCTTCTTTTGGGGGAGGGGATTTTGTTGCACAGCAGTATTTTTGCAACATGGTTTGTTTCCTAATATGGATATAGAAGAGAAGGAAACTGCAATGAACCGTGACTTACGCAGAAAGGAAACTTAATGATATTCATATTTAGATACAAAAATTAAATGTGGATACATAAAAGCAGTAAATTAAATGTGGATACATAAAAGCAGTAACCTCTGACTCGGGCTATTCTACAAAGCTAACTTCCTTTTATTCTCTGGAGAATGGTTGCTTGAAGCTGTGCTAAATTCTGGGATAAGCATTTGGGGCTGATCCTTATACCTGTTAACTTCTTGTTTGTTTCCTGTGAGAAAAACTCAGCACTCAGGTGGGTTTGGGATCAGGTGAAGATAAGTAAGTAGGCAACCTGTTCCCAGGCAACCTGACTAAATAATAAAAGGAATTTGTTGGGCAATATATGAGACTTCTGTAATCCTGACAAGGGAAAGGGAGAAATATTTTCAAATGATGCACTGCACAAACAGTAATTATTTGGAATTAGATCTTTTTGTAAAGGACAATGACAACTTTGCAGTGAACTGCTCTGAATGTTTAAGAAAGCAAGCAGGAACCTGAGGATAATCAAACAATTTCCACCTGGGGACAAAACATAAGCTCCTGAACTCACAAGAATCATTGTTAGGGGGGGAAAGAAAGAAAAAGCGTCCAAGTGTAAAAATCAGTGGCAAAGACCATAAAAGAATACAGAGTGGGCTAACTAAATGAAAGAATATGTTTTTCTTAGCATGAGTACATTGTAATATATTGCTGCGGATATGATTATAGCTAATTTTGCTTTAGATACAAATTGTTTATTAAGATGACTAATTAGGGGATTTAATCTAATATTTTTAGTATTTATAAACTAAGCTTTACAGTTAAATTCTTTAAAAAGAAATGCTTTAAAATGAATAAAAAGGGAAAAAGTTTTGTTAGTCACTTGCCTTTTTGTTTTTGATTTTTTGGGGGGGGATAAAAATTGTAGAGTGTGTCACCAGTTACCACACACTAAATAGAGTGATCTGGAACAGGGCGCAGGGAGGTGCTTGAAGAAGGAGTGGGTCTGTGTTTACATATCAGGTTACTGGAATCCTAAAAGCTGCCTAATCTGAAGGGATTCTCTCCACTTACAATGAATTGTTCATCAGGAAAAGGAAATAGTCTAAAACTAGCATCAGTGCATAGAGAATATAAAAAGAAATATAGCTTAGTAAATAATTAGTTTTACTGTTTTGTGTGTCTTATGTCAAAGCACAGAAATTGGCAAAGCCACTGGAAACTGTTTCTTTTAGAAAGGGCGATTCGTGTGCCATTGCTCCTACAGTGAGCTTTCTAGCTGTCCCTTTGTGAGGAAAGCTAACGTGAATTCTGCTTTGTGTCTTTTGACAAATTTAGCCTTGTGGAGAATAAATAACACTTTTAAATAGGTCCTTGTGGTACACTGTTTAATAGTTTAAGAGGTTTTGAAATATACCCAGAGACCTTGGTCACACAAACCCTATCATCCAAAGGAGGAAATGACAGAAAATTGGCAAGCATACAGCCGGGACAGAACAGACAGCTTGGCTGCATTCACCAAGAACTCCAGAGCGTGCTCAAAGAGAAAAGCATTGTTTGCCCTTCAGTGCTTGGAAAGTTTAAAAGTGGAATAAGGACAGTATTTTTCTTTAATAGTAGTTTCATCTCTCTCTTAATATTGTGGGGTTTGTTTTTTTTTTCATTAAATCTTCTAAATATAAATCTTACATTTCTCTCATTTTAATTTTAGGACATCAGAAAGGATATTAGTTGTCGTGTCATGGTTTTAAAAATTAAGAGCATAGTCCAATAGACATTTGGGGGCTCATTTTATTCTATTATGCTATTATTACTCTATTTGAAAAGTAAAAGATGCCATTATAAAGTGTCCTTCTTGGTGTCATTCTAGAAAATTTTAGAAATGATAAAAGTTAGTTTATTCAGTCTGGTGGTCCTCTAGCCTGGACCAAGCATAGTATCTGTTTGCAGCAGGCATACATTTTTAGTAAGTAAGCAGGATCTTTTTGACAAGTATTCTTACTTTAAGACTGAATCCTAAAATGGCAAAAAACAAACAAATCAAAAACAACCACTGTTTTTTTTTAATGGGATACATGATGAAGTCACTATCATTCAGATTCATTTATTCATTGATACATTTGTTAAAAAATATGTATGAGTACTATGTGTCAGACACTGTTCTGTTACTAGAAACAATATTGTTCTAAACTTTTATAAGGATCCAGGAACTTTTTACAGATAGTTGTTCTAAAATGTATTTGTGTAGAATGAAACCCTTTGAAAGTTAAAAATAAAATCTGTTAACTTTGCAAATTATGAAAGCATAGGTTGAATTTTGTGGACACTTTCCCCACCACTGCAGACAGACAGAACCCTTAATGAACCATCAATCTCCCAAAGAAAATAGGTCAAACGAGTGGCTGCTATATTTACAGAAATAGTAGAAGGAAGATGCTGGACAGAGTTGCTTCCTTTGTCCACTCCTAGATTCTTGCCATTGTCTTTCTGAATGCATACTTGACTCTTAAAATGCTAAGTAACATACAGAACATGGCTATTCCTCCAAATAAAATAAGTTATAATAGTGTACATTCTAAGCCTTAGGTTTGATAGCTTCCTAAATTTATTTCTTGTTAAACTGTTTTGTCTGAATGAGGAACAAACACTAATCTAAAGTTTAACTTGGTCTCATAAGGGGAAGATCTCTGGTTTCTATGGAAACCTCTAGTTTTTATGAGCTCATCCTTTTAAGAGCTGCTTGGTCAAAACTTACATCTAAGCAGACATGGAGATGAGCAATTACCATGCAAGAGGACACAGCAGTGATAAGGGCACTGCATGCAGACCTTAGCTTTTACCTAAAGTTGACACCTTTCACTAGGCTGATAACTCCTCAAAGGCTGAGGTCATTTGCAACTTAGTACCAGCAATGCCCAATGCCTGACATATAATAAATACTCAATAGATCAATTTTATTCATTTATTCAAAAATATTATATCTAAATCTTTTCTAGCCTAAAATGTTCACCTTCCACTAAGGACTATAACTAAATTTTTAAAAAAAAATATGACCATTTCAACATTTAAAAATCTATTTTTTCAATCTCAATCTTTTTGCAATATCTAAATTGACATATCTCTACTATAAAGCAATACAGTTGACTGTTGAACAACACAAAGGTTAGGGGTATGCACCCTCTGTACATGTGAAAATTATATCCAAATTTTCAACTGCCCCAAAACTAAAGTTGCCCCTTGGTATCAAAGGGGGATTGGTTCCAGGATCCCTACAGATATAAAAATCCGTGTTTGCTCAAGTCTCCTATATAAAAAGACATAGATCAATTCATACAGTTGGCCCTCTGCATTCTTGGACGCCCAACTGCAGATTGAAACAATACAGGTATTTATTGAAAAACAATCCATATATAAGTATATCCACACAGTTCAAACCCGTGTTGTTCAAGGGTTATCTGTACATAGATTTGCACAGTTTTTGTGTGTGAGAATTCTCAGGTTGGTGGTTTTATGCAGCATTACCATCTCTAACACCGTCCTTGTCCTCAGCATGTTTGGGTAGAGTTTGTTTTGTTTTTTTGTAATATAGAAAAGATTATCTACTAAAAATGAATTATAAAATTTAATAGAGAAACAGTCTGTAATTTAACTTACACTAAGTATTTAAACTCATATACACTGATAATTTCTCACTGAGTGAGCCCAAAAAGCTCATTCATTTCACCTAATTCCACTGGTTTTAATCCTTTTCTCCAGTCTGCATGCAAAGCTTAGAGGTGCTTGCTTCTGCGCTCACTCTCTTAGATATCTGCATGGAGTGTACCAAGTTTTGGATAAAGTTAGAGAAAAACTCTTAGCTTGGTGAGTTCTACTCTGGGTCCAATGATTATCTTCAAAATATGCTAACCTTGCCTCCAGGTATGAGTTGTGAG